ATGAATCATAAGCATTGCTTTAGCTCATGAGTCTTCATGTATTCAAATAGCTTACATGTTTTGAGTTTGTTGGAAAATGTAACAAAACATGTTTTGGTTCTAGAAAGAGTGAGGTGGCATGAGATGATTGGACTTCTGCACCTAGATAGATATGTTTTATTTATGCATATTAAACATGAGCCCTTAAAACGCATATTAGAAAACCCTCCTAATAATTGATCCTGCTGTGTTTCTCACTATGTTTCAGACTAAAAGTTGCTCAGTCTGCACATCTTTAAAATGCCCAAAGGTGGGACTTACCTTCTCCATTAAAACTAGAAGATTTCTTTTATTTACTCGTTAAAACTAATAAAATAAACATAAATACAAAGACAAATTACAGCTCAAGATTCAACCAACAGACCTCATGTTATACAAATTAGATAGTGAATCAGTGAAGAACGAGTGAACAACTAATTTCAGAAGAATCAACATTCAAACAGTGGCAAATTAAGATATCTGGATCTTGTTCTTTTTGAAATTGAAAATGTGTATATCCCTTTTTATTGATACACATGCTAAAAGATAAATTGTTTTAGTTAATAAAAGACTAGACTTTAGTGCTCTAACTTGTCCAACATACTATATCTACAAGACTGCTACTTGCTAAATACAGTCACAAAAAAATTGGAAATGTACTTCAGAGTCAAAGTTCACTACGAAATAACATCCTTGAACAGATGTTTTAGGGAGATAGTGCTTAAAAGAGAGCTAAATTAGTCCCCCGGAAATGAAAAAATATACTGCTGATAGATAAAGACAAATATAACTTAACATGTAGCATTCATATATTTAAAAATAAAAAAATCGAATTCTTTTATTTTACTGAAAGTCACATTTCCAATTAAATGCAGCCCTACTGGGAATGTATGAATCTAACTGAGATTAGGTATCAATTACCTTCAAAACAGGGGTACTGGGCATAGGAATCAATTTTGATGTAGATTGATCAAAATCACGATAGCATTCTGTGTATGTAGACCCAATAGCCACTCCAGCACCAAAAGCTACAGATGCCCAACGTGTTGCAGGACTCCCTGATGCAACAAATAAATATAAACCAGTCAATCCAGCGGACAAACGTTTTAATAGGAAAAAAAGGAAGGTTACAGTTCCAGAGCATGCATCAAAACGCATATCAAAAGGTTACTTCTATTATATTCAGTGTGAACAGGATGCAGGTAAAGCAGATTTATGGCATTGACTAAAATAATCAATTTAGGTCATTAACAATAGAACTTTATCGAAATTCAAAACTAGCTACCACGATATCTAAAGAGAAAAATCATATAGCACAAAAAACTGACACTAAGATTTTAACAACAAAATATTATTTAGCCACCATACCACAACTCGAGCTAATCACAAAAATTCCTAAAAATAAAACTCAAGAAAAGTAATTCTAAATCTAAAATCATAAATTTTGAAACCATTACAATCAACGAACATGGAAATTAAAATTCAAAAAGGAAAAAGCGAGGAAATAAAGAGGACTAACGTAAGAGAATAAGGCCGGCGAAGGCACCGGTGAAGGAAGAGTAAACAAAGCGGCGAACGCCCAAATCAAGATACGCGTCCCACTTTGCATTCAAATCGTAGAATGCTTGGTTTTCCTCTGCCATTGTTCTCTCTACTATCAACACAGTTTTCTGATTTCCTTAGCTTTGAGTCGAGGGCTTCGATTTTTGTGGTTTAGAGTTTATTTGCGTGCAAATTACACAGGAGTTAATTTAATCAACAATCACTCAACTTTAAAGTTGTTACCACTTACTCACTGAACTTTAACGCGTCACCGAACGGTCACTCATATATCCTTATAGTTAACCATTCACGACTCACTTCACTCCGGTATCTTCAAATTGACATAAATGTA